CTTACGAGGAAGCCGTAACTTCTCGAGATTTAGAGGACAATATACCGTCTACTTCTTTCTCATTCTCTCGCTCAGCTGCTGCTAATTTACATGCTATAGAAGAAATGTTTTCTTCGAATCATTCAACTAGTGAACGACATCCCTTACTTAGCAATAAAAACAATGGTCCCTATAACTTATTTGGGAGGCCATATGGTGGTTCAATGAATCAGTCCACTTCGTCTAATCAATACATGACGTTCCCTTTACCACGCGAATCATATACAAACAATTACGAATTTGTTTATGAAGTATCACAAGGTGGTGTTGTATCGTGTGATCCACAACTAAGCAGAGACTCTGATTCATTATACAGATTTTTTAACGAGCATAATGACAAACCTGAAATGGCTATTATAATTTATGGTAATGCTTTAATAATATTAATTCCTACATAAATCTGAGTGGGGTAATAGGCAAAGTATTGTATTCTGGTGATTACTATATTATCATAATAATTCGTCATAATGTTGTTCTTCGACATATTACCCCTCTTTTTTTTTTTTTGTGTACTATAATTACTAATAATGATTATTTATTAATCATGATTATTAACAGGATATCATACGCGGAAAGGCGGTAATAACAGGAAGAATACTGAAATAACGGATTTTAGATTCACTTTAGATTTAACAGAATTCGTATCGTCTGTCGGAGAAATGCGTGCTTATTCAAATGAAAACAGACCGGATATGAGTTTCATGGAAGTCATGGAAGATTATGTTCATCGGGATAGTGTTCTGAAATCTATCGAAATGCACAAGGTTTATTAATCATCAATTATCTTATTTTCACATTAATAGTTATTAAAAAAATTTTTTCCCTTTAATAGATTGTGTTCTGGGACTATTCTTATTTAACCCAATCCATAGTTTCAATTATTCGTGACCAAGGTTACCAACACGAAATCCGTATCACATATCCACAGCGTAATCAATTGATTCGAGTTCAATCCGACAATGCGTTATCACAATTCTCGCGTAGTACTTTAGGACAAGCTTTATGTTGTTGTTCGTGCTTTGGAATTATACATAGGATTTTAACCCGATTTTATGACAATGCTTATAAAAGCAAGTTTAAAAGTGAATTCCAAATGAATATTAGTGCGAGAGAATGGTTTCAGAGGAATAGGAGGATTATTGTTGCGAATGTTAAGTGGCTTTGATGAAAAATATGAATACAGGGGACGAGATTCTGAGTGTGATGATGTAAGAGTGATGAATACTTTATTTAACTACATATAGACAATAATGTTAAACCGCATTAACTGCTTTTATTATAACTTTGATACAAATACAATAATAAAATATCAACGCTTTTTAAGTTGACTGTTAATCTTTATCGTCATAACAATAAATCAGTGTTGGGGATGATGCTGAAATTGGCTGAAGCTGAAAATTTTGGGTCTCAATTTAGATCCATAAAGCCTACTAAAACCCACTTGTTTATTATAAATTCTACCCATAAAGCTGACCCCTAACCCTAAAAAAAGTCCAAAAAATGTACCTCAAAAATTTTTAAATAAAATAGATCAAATTTTCAGCTTTAGCCAACTTAAGCTTCATCCACCACAATCAGTATACTTGGTACCAAGAGTGAGGAATAGTAAATGCTATAGTTATTAGGTAAGTATGGGGACATCGTATTGACGAAATAATCAATGTATTAATACTTCTTTGCGTTTCGATCGTATTTACTTTATTGATTTAATCTTTCGAAGTGTTATTTATCTTGCTGAAATTATCACTCGCAATTCATTCAAAGTTGCATGTTCAATTACATATATCAATTCAATCGTATTCCTTTATCTATCGATATTTGTCATTGTAAAAATATTATATCTTTTTTCAAATACTATAATGTTAAAACATACAGACTATATCAGATATACTCTGCTTAATTTAGTTTTACTTTTGATTTAATACAATTTTTACAAATATAAACAACTTAACAAGCAATATAACAAATTTAAAATTGTTCAAAATTCTCTTATTTACAAGTACACTTGACCCTTGTTAATGTCAACCTTGTTAGTATGTTTCAACACTAGTCGAAATAAAATAGATCAGGAAAAATTGTATAAACATCAGGTTCTGATCTTTGTTGATTTTTGGCTCCAATCGTGACAACGAGCTATCAGCAAGCCATCAGAGCTGTCATGTGCTTGATAGCTTATTGATAGCTCTATTAGCTTCTTAATACGTCTCTAAATCGGAACCTGATATTTCTATAGGGACGTATCATTTTATAGAAAATCATTTAATTTTAAGAAGATCATTTCATTTATAGAAAATCATTTCATTTTATAGACAATCAATTCATAGACAAGCCATTTTGAAGACAATTAATTTATAGACAAACTATTTTATAAACAGTTTATTTTACAAATAGCTCCTGAGCTACTGGTTCTTTTTAACAGTAGTTAAATCACCACCCTAATTAAAGATCATGTAAAAGAAGTGCAAAAAAATCAACCCAACAAAAAAACGCTTGTAGCTTAAAATTTTGCCTATGAAAGTGCCTTTTGCGTACTAACAAAAAATTTTCCTTGTGAAATTTTACTATAACTATAGTCCTTTACTAATCTACTGGGGGATTCTAACTGAGAAACAGTTTTTTTTTAATAAGATCACATAGTGAAATTTTTTAGGGTGGTGATGCTAGACTTATAAGTTCTCGAAATCGCGGCATGGGCGTTATTTCGAATTTTGGCTCGAATTAAGCTTAATTCGGGCCAAATTCGAAATAACGCCCATGCCTGTATTTTGAGAATTTACGGCAATAATAATAGGCTTTTTAAAATAATAAAAGCTAATAGCTATTGTATTTTTTTAAAAATGAAAAAGTATGTAGTACAGGTTACCCTCGTTAATATCAACCTATTTGAATTGGGTTTAAATCATGTTGATAGTGATATTAATGAGAAATCATATTAAAGTTGATATTTATGAGGGAATTTTGATATATAAAAATTTATAAAAATTTGTTTTGTGGCTTAGGTTGATATTATCGAGGTTGATATTAACAGGGGTAACCTGTACAAAGAGAATATTTATTTTAATTTTATATGATTAAGATAAATTTAAAATTAAAAATTGTTATTATTATAAAATCGGATCATCGTAAATTTGAATCTATTTTATGTATGGTTTTTAAATTTTTTGGGGGTCTTTATTGTCAGCTTTTTTTTTATAGTCAAGTTAGGATTTAGGGTTAGAATTATTAATAAAAGAGTATAGATAGATTTTGGTAAAGACTCCAACAAAATTTTCTAATAATTTTAAAAGAATAATTCTAACTATAATAGCTAACTCATGTCAGGATTTTAAGCATAAATGTTCAAAAATTCTAAAAATCTGCTTTTAACTAAAATTTAGACCTTTATATTTAACCTTTGTTTTATTCTAAAAATGCATTGTAATATTAACGAATTTTTATTAATATTTTTCTTATATATTTTCTTTTTTAAATTTTATTATATATTTTATATGTTTATTATATATTTTATCATTTTATTAATTTATTTATATAATTTATAGTAGATTTTATCTATTTTAGACGTTTATACAATAGTTTATTACATATTTTATTAGTACACTTTTTACAGAATTCCATTTAAAGCAATATTTGCTTTAA